GGGTCCCAGCGGGCGGTGGCAGGTCCGGGAGGTGCCACCTGTGGGCTGAGCTGTGGGCGGCCTCAGCCCCGCGGGGATCGGGGTCCCCCCTCGCCAAGCGAGGGGACACACGGGGGGGCTTCTTCCCCCCTCCCCTCGGAGCCCTAAACGCCACCGGGCCCCCCCGTCCCACCACCCGCCGCCTCGTCGCCCCCGCTGTGGCCCGAGCCGGGGGGAGGCGAGATCCCGCTCCCCGCAGCAGGAAGTTTGGCTTCCTCCCTATGATGGGAATTTCTCAAGGCGATGGATGTTCCTCGCCCCGACGCGCAAACGGGACCCGCCGAGGAAAAGCCACCGCGGCTCCCGCGTCCCCTCCCCGGCGACACCGCGGGGGCCCGGACACCGCGGGCGGACCCCCCGACCCCCCCGAGTCCTCCTCGAGGGTGGGGAGTCTCGAGAGCGTTAATTTGGGGCACGAATTGCCGGAGCGACGGAGGCTGGGGAGGAAAATCGCTCCAAAAATCCCTTCGGGGGCCGTTAACGCCAGCGGCCGAACCCCGGTGGGTTTCCACCGGGAGCGGTGCCCACCCCAGTGCCCACCCCGCTGCCTGGAGGATTTAATCCCGCCGGGAACAAGGCGAGGCCGCGGCCAGCCCCTCGTTGGGGGTGACCCCGTACCTTTCTCCTCCCGGTCGGGGGCAGCCGGTGCCGGATTCGCCCTCCCCGGACCCCCCGTCCTCCCCATCCCCACGGGGGTCCGGGGCAGCGCTCGCCCCGCGGCCCCCTCGACGTGCGGCGCTGGGGAAGGCGAAGCCAAATGTCCTTTTAGAGAGTGAAAGTTTCCCCTCGGTGCAGCTCGGCCGCGCTGGAATGCCTGGGCTTTTTATAAATCCCTCCTCGAGCCCAGGGATGGGCACGAGAAATGCCAGTCGGAGATGAGAAAAGGGGGGAAAGAAAGAGTGGAAAACGGGGTGGAAAAGAGGGATAGAGCATTTCTGCGTGTCGTGTCTGCCTCGTTGCTCGGGCTTTAGAAGAGCTCTAAAGAGATATATATTTAAATTTATTTTTCCTGTGGAATTCAGAGCTTCCCAAATTCCCTTTTGTTCTTCAAGGCAATTATTTCTCTTTTTCTTTGGACCCCTGCACAGCTCCATAAATCCTTTTTAACTGCGTGATCTCCGACACTTATCGGAGAGGATTCGGGTCGGTTTTTTTTTTTCTCCCCTTTTCTTTCCCCAACTCCTTAAAAAAAAAACCCTCCGATATAAAACTGAAATGAAATCCGGCCCTTCGGAAGAAAAGCATAAACGTTCCCGACACCTTGGAAATGTGGTTTTACTTTATAGCATTACTTAGCACCTGATCAGCAATTTTTTTTTCTTTTTTTTTTTGCAACAGAGAAGCCATAAAACCCCCCAAGCAGGTATTTTCCTTGCAACTTGCACATTCCACAGGCTGCCTGTGTCTCTCTCCCCGGCCCTTTTACCCTCCGATCGGAAAACTTCACACTTTTCCCTTTTAAAACACATGTTCGGCTCCGTGGCTGCGCAGAGCAGAGGAGGGGGGGGAAAAAATCCGGGGGAAAAGAAAATAAATATATATTTATATATAATTGGCCCCTCCAGAGGCTCCTGCTTGAAGGAGGGGGGAAAAAAAGAAAAAATCCAGGAAAAAAAAAAAAAAAAAAAATAGAGAGAGAAAATTGGCCCCTCCAGAGGGTCCCGCTCGGAGAACGGGAAACGTGTCTGGTTTTTGGTGCTCGTGTGTGTTTCTGGGGCTGTTTAGATTAAGATTTGGGAGAATTAGGGCTTGGAGAGGCAGATCTGTTACGAGCAGAGCCGGAGCAGCTCCGGGCTCGGCTCGTGGAGGAGCTGGAGCAGGATGGGCTCGTTGGCAGAGCCGGGGGATGAGTTTTTTTGGAGGCCTCGCTGGCCTTGGGAAGGGTTTGTTTTGGGGGGGTGGATCCGTTTTGCCCGTGGATGCTCGGGGTATCCCGACCACCCCACGGGCACTCAGGGCACCCCAAGGGACTCGGCACCAACCCATGGGGTGCCTGGCACCACTCCCTGGATGTTTGGGGTGCCTGTACCAATCCATGGGGACTCAGAGCACCTTGGAGTACCTGGCACCGCTCCACGGATGTTTGGGGTACCCCAGAATATCCAACACCAACCCCTGGATGTTTGGGGTACCCCAAGGTGCCCCGAAGTATCCAGCACCAATCCATGGATGTCTGGGGCACCCCAGAGTATCCAGCACCAACCCAGGGATGATTGGGGTACCCCACACCACCGTCCCCCTGATGCTTTTCCCCCTGGATTCCCTTCCTCCCACCTCCCCAGCCTCCCCCAAGCAGAGCAGGAACCCCTAATTAAGTATCTCGGGCATAACGAGGCTCTTGGAGCACTAATTGTGCCGGGTGGGAGCCGGAGGAAGCGGCAGGGACCCCTCATCAGGATCCCTCCGGCACAACAAGGACCTTGGAATGCGGGGTGGGAGCCGGAGGAACCCCCGGGGACACAACAAGGACCTTGGAATGCGGGGTGGGAGCCGGAGGAACCCCCGGGGACACAACAAGGACCTTGGAATGCGGGGTGGGAGCCGGAGGAACC